AACAAGCCAGTGTCCAACACCCACAGCCACACCGCAAGGACCCCTCCACCCAGATGCTCCTCCCCAGAAAAGTCAACATGCCTGCCCTCCAGGAGACAAGCAAGCCCGCCGAACAGGAACCCCTCCAACAGCGCACCGCTGGCATGCGGGGGCCCGAGCGGCCCCAACAGAAACAACACCGGAAGGCCGATATGGACAAACCGACGGCACCAACCAAGACCCCAGGCGGATTCTCCCAACCAAAAACACTACGAAACCACTCCGCCCCCACCGACCACAGCAAACACAGCTGCAAGGCAAAACAAAGTATAGAGCAGCCCCGCCCGGCGCACGCCAGAGAGCCAGAGCAGCAAGGTGCAAGGTTCCAGCCACGTCCCAGCCACCAGAAGCCGGCACAAGCAGCAAAAAGAAAGCAGCAGACGCGACCCCGCTAAAGCAATGTCCGGCCTTGCACTGCCCACGGGCCGCCAAGAGGAGGATGGCCGCGCTGGCCATGGCCCACACTCCCCCGCTGACAAACACCTAGCAACCCTCCACTCCCAAACCGTGCACGATGCACCGCACCGCGCGCCACCGGCACCCGCCCGAACAGAACGAAGCCACACCCCCGACCCGGGGGCACTCCAAAGGGACCCCCCGACGCCCTCAACCAGCCCACAGCAGACACACACGAACCCTGGCCACAGGCGCGACCACCCACGCACCCCTTCGGACGACGCAACCACGGCAAGCGCCACGGTCAACCACCGAAACCTGGCACCGAAAGATGAGGCATGCCCCGACGCCCAGCAGAGCAGAAGCACCCCGGCCAGCACCACAAAAGAACCGATGCCCGGCGCCCAGCCCCACCCAGCAGCAGCACAGCTACCAGGCCAGTAGCCCACGTCCACCACCACGGAACCCCCCAAGAGCACAGCACGCGGCCACCGCAGGACCCCCCCGAGGCGCCCCAGACTCCGCCCTGATAGGGGCAACAGTCCCCTGGGCCAGACCCGCCAGGCACCCCGCTCCAAGCACCCCCCCGAGCCCCCAGGACCCAAGGACCCCTGAACTAGCCCCCGCGCCCCATAAGGCGCACCCCACAGCCCCCCACTACACTAAGTGATGGAGCTGATCAAGGGAGCCCAGAGAGATCGGTCTGATGGGGATGCAGATGCTGTCTCAAGATTAATATGATCCAACAACAGATCTCTGTACTGATTGATGTTGAGTTTATCCTTACTTTTCCAATTCATGAGGATAGTTTTCTTTGCAATACATAATGCAGTGAATGCCA